TGGCGACCGGACGGCAATGGCGACTGAAAAACAATAGCGCTATAGCGATGGAAGTGACGAAAATCGCATGCGATGGTTGCGGCGAGCATTCCTTTTACTGTGCATGTGCAAGAACTTCTTTTGCCGGATCGAGGCAGGGACCCTCGGACTTGTGTGTGAACAGGAGTTCCGGCTCCCAGGAGCGGATCCATCGCAGTGTCGCTAATTCCGCAAGGCTGATAGTTGCGTGTGAAAGGTAATTCCGTCAGGCGGGGTCTATACCGGAATGGCTCCGGCTAGATTCCAGCATGCTCTAATGCCGCTTGTCTGCCGGTTTCAGACCCTAGTGTGAAAACGTCCATAATGTATAGTATATTCAGTATATACTCTTCCCATGGCAGGGAGCAGCAACTAAAGATGATTGTTATTCTGAACACAGTATATAACCCAATGCAAAACAGATATGCACCTCCAGTACTTTACTGAGGGGGGCAGACTGCCCCAGCCCCAGAGGTCCATTTGGGCTCTGGCATGGCTGCAACCACACCAAAGCCCAAATGGGACTGCTCCCCAGCAGTCATGGAGGTCCGTTTAGGCTCTGGCTACAACCACGCCAAAGCCAAAACAGAAGAGACTGCCTCCCCAGCAGCCACCACCACTGGAGGTGGCAGACCCAGGCCTCTGGAGATCTGTTTGAGCTCCAGTGTGACTACAGCCATACCAAAGCCCAAACAGAAGGGACTGTCATGACTACTGGACAAATGGGAAAGGGATGTAAAGCCTTTTCTCACTCACCCAACAGCCATGCTGGGTGTACTGCCACATTAGGTGACACACACCCATGCTGTCAACTGGTGAGGTCCATACCCCCTGTGCTCCCCTAGAGACGCCATTGCTAGAAGTAGTAGTCACTCAATGTGAAGTCAAAGGCTTTCACAGCTGGCATCCATAGTTTTCTGTGGGTTTTCTGGGCTATGTGGCCATTCTAGAAGAATTTATTCTTAATGTTTTCCCTACATCTGTGGCTGACATCTTCAATGTGAGGTAGCATAGAGGTTTGTGGGGTATATATATATATATATACACACACACACACACACACACACACATATATATATATATACACACACACACACACACACTTGTGTGACCCTTGGTTGGGAGGAAGTGATTTATATGTTAATCTGTATGTTGGTCTGTTGTTGAATGCCAAGGCCTCAGGGTAGGAGGATATATGAGGCAGATGTGTTTCCATTTAATTAGCAATCCCTTGTCTGTGGGGAAACTCCCTGACCCTGGGTGGTGTTCATTTGCATGAACTGAGTCTTGATTTTGGTGTTCCTCAGGACTGATAGCCAAACTTTGATCACTTTCAGAGTTTCTTCTTTCCTCTTGAAGTTGTCCAGGTGTTTGTGGATTTCAATAGTCACTCACTTTTACATGCTGCTTTTGGCAGCAGCAGTGGGAGAGGGGAAGAACAGTGTTTATGTGCAGACTGTAGTCCTAGAAATTATTTTGACAGAAATCTTGGACTTGAGAAGTTTGGGGGTGATGGGCTTCATCTCCCCCCCAATGCAGTGCCACATGCAGTCCACAGGCCTCATGATCCCCAACTGGTATGAAAGGAACAGTAGTACTGTCCTTTTTTTATGAGTCTACTCTATTTTTGACTCAACAGCATAACAAAAATTGCCAGTAGTGCAGGTAGCCTTAGGGGGAAATGTAAGATGTGTAGCACTGATCAATGCAAGAGTTGCATAAGGACAGTATAAAGGTTTCATAAGGATGTAAGGACCTCCTATATACTGAACTCCATCAAATATCTTTGGTTTGCAAAAAAGGCATAAAGTTAATGTACTCTAGAGGTGTACTTTGCCCACTCTCACATTAGATGGGTTGAAGAAGCCACCTCAGGCATCAGGTTTTAAGTGCAATGCAGGTCATTAGATGGTTGTTTTATTGTTTCTATATTCTTGCTTCCAGAGATACATATACCTTCCAGCATTTCACAAATGAAAACTGGGACAATGTATGGTTAAGCAATATCAAAGTTAGCAACAAGCGGGCAAATAGGCAAAAAGAGGAAGAACAGGCAAAACTACTATGCAGAGAAATCCTGGAATGTCTGTACTGCATTTAGGAAATCCTTTAAAAAAATCAATAAACAAAAGATTGAATGTGGCCATGAATATTGCAGCATTATTAATAATAAACATAATATTATATACTACATAATTCTAAGATCATCATGCTTTTATCAGACCACCTCAAAATTACAGAGGACAGAGAAACTGGGACTTTTTAAAAGCACCTGAAAAATTAGATGTAGAGGCTTAATTGGGACTGTCCCTGTCAAATTCAGACAGTTGGAGGATATGAAGCCAGCAAGATCGAGGAGGAAAATTGGAGGAGGTGAGATAAACCGGGACATTCAAAAAGCAGCTGAGTAAATGGGATGGGAGCCCATTAATCAGGGTTGTCCCTGCCAAAATGGAATAATTGGTGGATATGGAATCAGGAGACTTGTGGAGGACCCTCTTTTGGTGACAAATAATATAATAGGTTTTGGTTACTCCATATCTTGATTTGGAGGGGGGGCATCATTTGGGCATACTCTGTGCCAGGCTGGACTTTCCCTTGACATTGTGCACTGAGAAGAAGGAAAAAAATGATTTTTTAAAAAACCAGGTTACTTACAAAACAGCCCTCAGAGAGCCTAGTGAGATGTTCCAGTACCATTCAGTCAGCTGGTGACCTCAAGCTGCCCTGCTGGAGCTAATAGCTGCTTCAGTTGAGAAAGCTCAGCTGGATTTCAAGGCCTGACACCAATTTACTCTTGCTCTAATTGAACAAGAACATGTCAGAGGGCACTGTAAATGTTTCATTCAAATCAACGTATTGGCCTCAGCCTTTCTTACATTCACAAACCCCGACCTCACTTGTTTTCTTTCCATTCTGATTCAGATGGGGGGAAAATTGACTACAGAAGTGAACAGCAAAGATTGGAAGCATTATGTATTTGGACTACAGCTGCCAGGATCTACTGGACATGGTGGCTGGTGATTCTAGGAGTTGTTGTCCAAAAAGTATTCCCTCCCCCCAGCACTGGCATTGAATAGGGCTGTAAATCTTGCTTTTCATATTCTTAATCCTGAAAAAAACGGTCAAATTTGTAGTTCAACTCATCACAAAATCCCAAGTGCTGTATAGCTAAAGCAATCCTATCAAAATTTTGAAATGATTTCTTCCATATCCATATTTTCAGCATCTGTAAGAAAGTGCTAAGAGTTGTGGCTACCCTTCCTAGATGACAGATGGAACTGCAAATAAATTAATGGAAGATCAGTTATTTGCTTGTCATAATGTTGTTAACAAGCCCAAATGTCTGTCTATAATTTAGTGTCTATGAGTAATTAGCATCAAAAACAAAGGTGGGTGGTGGATGGGTGAAAAAGTGGTTTGGGCTCCCATACATGTAACAGTTATCTCAAAAAAGCAATTCTATCAGATGTAGGATTTGTGGCATGTTGTACAATTGGGGGGGGAGGGGCTACAGCAGGTACAGTTTGTCATATCAGCAATAAATGCCAGCTAAAATTCCCTTTTTGATATACCTATTCCAAGTGCTAAAGACCTGTATTCTTCACCTGACCACCTTAGCTAATGGTAAGCAGGATTTTTAAAAATCTTTTTATTTAGACATTGAACTGTTTAAAAAAAACAAAGAAGACATTTTAAAAAAATCACCATTTACAATAATGACATTACACTGACAATACAAACATACAATCACATACATGAGTTCTACACTTACTAACACACATCACACACATAACATACTTCCTTCTACATTACCTCCCATGCATTTCCAGTATTTCATGTCTTGTGCTTGTTTTCCTTTGTTTACAAATATCTCTTATAGTTCTTCTATGCTATTCACTTATATCATTAAACTTAGATCTGGTTGTCCTGTCCAAAAATACAAAAGAGAAAGAAAAGAGCAGAGAAAAAAACATTTTTAATATTCCTTTTCTCTTCTTCTCCTTATTAAGTTTTAGCAATTCCTTATCTAGCTTCATTTCAAACAGTCTGTTATAAAGCTTATTATGGAATCTTTTGTATAAACCAAAAATCCAACAATATTAAATTGCCCCATTCTTTGTTTAAAAAATTTATAAATTTGTCCCAGTCTTTATTCAGTTCATTTTCTTTCTTTTTCTGGAGAATTCTTGTGAGTTTGTCACTTTCCAATGCTTCCAGAAGTTTTATCAACCAGTCTTCTATCTTTGGAATCCTAGTTTGTTTCCAGTCTCTAGCATGAATTATTCTTGCTGTTGTCAAGAAATACCATATTTTTCAGAGTATAAGACGACCCCCAATTTTTCCAGTTAAAATATAGAGTTTGAGATATACTCACCGTATAAGACAACCCCTCTTCCAACGCACACCAAATAATAATAATAAAAAAACAGGAGATTTGATTTCAATCAGGTAATTTTAATTCAAATGCTTATGGCATGCAGGTACTTAGCAGGAA